AGCATGGGACTGATCCAGACCCCCTAATATGGTTGTCAATGAGGAGACCTTGGAAATCTATGGGGCCTCTTGTAGTGGATCAGTACTTATCGCTACCATAGGAATGGACTTTAGGAGCCCATCCCACATGGAAGGATATTCCCTGAGCCTAGACACAAGGGCATTGACCTAGGCCCTATCCAAAGAATATGACAGACTTTGAAGACCCCCTATGGAATGCCTCACCCTCCCTGGGGAGCAGAAAGGTATGGGATAGGTAAGGCGTTAGTTGGGGGGGTAGGGGAGGAGGGAAGGGAGAGGGACCTGAAATTGACATGTAAAATAATTTTCTTTCTAATAAAACAAAAACCCAAAAATATTACCAAATGGGGATTTTCTCTGGTCTCTTCCATATGAATACTCCCAATTCTGACGTTGCACCACTCACTAATTCCAACCAGAAGAAGAGGAATCCCTTATCTAATGCCTGTAAGACTATGTCAAATAGGTCTGGGTGCATCCTGGATATGGCATCAGGAAAGGCTTGCCATGGTGTCTCCATCTACACTCAAGCCAGTGGGCTCTCTCATCCCACAGACCAAGAAAACCGAATGAAGCCTGTACCACGAAAATACAACTAGATCTGTTTCCTCTATGTTCCAGCTTCGTAGATTGACAGGGAGTGGGCAAGTCAGTACCATGAAGAGGCTAATATCTGGCCAGATTGAAAGCAGGGGCAAAGGACCCACAGCTCTGTCATTCACCCTGACTAAAGCCATGACTGCCAGTTCCTCAGGTGGGTTCCACAATTATTCCATTCTACTTAAAACTCCTGCGGAGTCATTACACACTGACATCTCTGATATGCATTTGTCATTCATCAGTAGTCTTTACTTAAAATTTGAACCTAAAGGGCCAAAATATTTAAACCTCTTTGCCAGTTGCTGAAGGATTTATGTTACTCTTTGGAAAAGTAAAATTTATAACCTTCCTAATCTTGTTTGTTGTTAAAATAGTTCCTGTCCTGGAAAAGTCTCTGATGGAATGGCATCAGGCTCCAGCTATTGTTCTTATTGGTGTCCCTTCCTAAGTAGAAGATGTTTGTGAAGATTACTGTGAGCACTGACTTTGTGAAATAAATCTACTCTCTCGCCTAGAACCATTATTTACTTCAAAGAATTGACAGAGCTTTTGAAATAACTAAAGCTAAGAAGATATTTATTTTTATCATGTCCTTTATTCAAACATATATTCCCTCCAACATCAGGCATTTCATCAGTACTTAACTCTATGCTAAGTTTATCCACAGTGCAAGAAACTTAAAATACAGTGTCGTTGAGAAAAGAAAACCAGTTTAATAAATTGGCACCCTCCTTTCCCTCAGGAAAGTCTTTTTTTCCCCACATTAGTCCGCATTCCTGTTTCTCAGTTCAGTCAGCAACTCCACTTGACCTCTGCATTTGATCACTGCCAGGCTTCCCCAATCTCAAATAATGAATCACCTAAAAGCTAGTACATGGAATCTTTTGATATAACACAACTCTGAAGTGCAAATAATCTCTCAACAATTCAGTCATGCTGATCCAATAATTTTTAAGACATGGCCTTCTCCAGTAAAGACAATAAAATGCTTTTCCCAGGAAGTAAAAGGGCAACTGAGATTTGCTGAAAGGGAGCCTGGATAATCGATTAGAACAGGTGGGATGCTGTCTCTCTTCCTAAGGACCCGCCCCCTGCTGATGTCTTCCTTCCTGCCAGCTTTGGATAGAAGCTTGGGATTAAATAGGTGACCTGGGAATGATTTGCCTGGAATGAAAGGTCAAAATTTACTGACACCAATCATTTTATTGGACTATGGGTGGGTAATCCCCTCTTTTAAAAAGAAAGAAAAGAAAGATGCCAGGAAGAGAGAAGGATGAGAAGAAAGAGGGAGGGAGGCAGACAGAGTGAGTGGGTTGTACTTTCTCTATCAGTCACACTTTTAAAACAACAGTCTCTAAATACAATTCCTATTATATTCTTCTAACTCACAAAAATTATTTTCCTTACCTTCTACAGTGTTCCATGACCAAACCAAACAAATGTCAATTTTTGCCTTGTCCTTGAGATGCACCATATAAATATAAATATCGCATTTGATCATTAACCTACATTTCATAAATAATTTATTTCAAAATCGTTCCTCCATAAGACTTTCTGTTGCTGAGGTGTTCAGTTTTCAGGGAAAGCATTTATTTACAGCCTGAGTGAAAGAAGGCTGGTAAACACTTGGCTAAAAGCTGCACATGGAGAAAATTATGGTAATTGTATTAATGCTCAAACACACGGCACTCAATGCTCAAATCTGCTAAAAGCTTTTGTGCTACACATTGCCCACATCTTGACGGGCAATGAGACCACGAGAAGTGCTTAATACTTGACAGAACACTTCCGAGACTCATCTTTCACAGTTCCAAGAACTGCTAAAGAATCTGGAAGAAGCTTCCCTAGGAGTTTTTGAACTTCAAACTCTCCTCTTAAATGTCTTATGCTTTGTGATCACACTGAAACTCCAAGTTCAACCAGAAAAGAAAATCAAAATAAAGTCATGCAATTAATTCTGATGAATGGTTAAATTTTAATTTGTGTAAGGCAAATTCTTGTTCATGTGTGTCTCCTTCTGACATCTATTAAAAATAAATTAACTTAACAGGCAAAATCTAATGTTACTCTGGAAATTTTCTGCTAGGTCAACATTATGGACTTTAAATGACTATTTTGTATCAATTTCTCTACTAGAAGAACTAGAACACTAATTGTGGATATATTTGTACAAGATTAGAAAAAATTAAGAAAATGTCAACATAATCACAAAGTAAGGTGGATCCAAGTCACCTCAGATGCTACAAAGACCAGTAGATTCCCTTTACAGCTTTTAAAAGTCAGAAGCACTAAGCTCCTAATACCATCCTCTGAGTTTACTCACTCACCAATCACACTGTAATTCCAATACAGTAATTAGCACAACCTCAGGCTAGGATGAGATACCCAAGGGTAGATAGTGAAATGCTGTGTGAACAAGTTCAGTCAAATACAGAATCAAGACATGTGCACAGGTCATCAATCCATACTTTGTTTAATTTGGGAATATTCAAGAAGAAACTAACCATTTTTTTTGGAGGGGGACAATTTTCAAAATGACTGAAGTAACTAAAGTGACAATCCCAATGTAGTTATGCTGACTAACGTGGGCTTCTGTTCACGCTTAGCAGTTACTAACCTCTGGGTCTCACTTATACCTATGTGGCACAAGGCATGTGGAATACACAGGGCTGAAGGGAAATAGGATCACTGACACCCACAGGCATTCTCCTCAGATGGATTCTGCTATATCCCACCCTGGCCCAGGTATGGATGCCTGTCCCAGACTAGTCCAAGTTGGCTTTGAGTGTCGGCATTCAAGTTCTGACTAACCCTACCAGAGGCCAGTTGTAGAACTATATCAGCTCTCTCAGTCTAGAATGTCCCAAGGAAACAAGGGAAATGCTGATAAAAACTAGGAATCCTGAAGGCGGTTGAAGGAACTAAATCTCAAGTTTCCTATCTGTAAAACAGGAATATTCAATTAACAGTTTTCTGGGGACATGTATGTAAACCACCTAAGAAGGGACCTAGAAGTCAGCCGACAAGCTTTCTTCCTTTCTTCCCTTATCCCAAGCTCCAGGCCTTCTCTACTAGCCCAGATCCTCAGGTAGTTTTGGCTGAGTCACAGATACTGCAGTGGCACTCTTCTGCTTACTGTCCTGGCTCTGCCCCTTGATCCAGAACTAGCTAGTAAAGGTGGACCAGATCTCAGACTGCACACCATGCCTAGCAGTGTGGGTGTTTACATGCATTCTCCATGGAGCTTCTCATAGAGCAATCTTGAGTGTTCCACCAGAGAAAAGTAGGTTGGTCTGCAATTGTCCACTACAGGGTTCAGAAGCTGCAGCAAATATCACTTGCTGTTTATGAACTTAGAAGCAATACTCTCACATTTCAGAAGGAACATATGTGGGCCCATGGCTACCCAGCCAATAAAAAAGACATTTTCTAATCAGTCTGTAGCACATTGGGGTCTATGGAATGTGTGATGGTCAACAAGAGGTAATCAGAAGTGAGGTTATGGTGTGTCCAGAAGAACATGTATCATGATTCTTAGGTCATTTTTGATTCTTCCATTTTACTGCCTGGGAACTGATGAGAACTCAACAGAACTGCAGTAATAGCCACTTACTTCTTTTCTCTTCCCTTAGAGGGAAATGAGATCTTTTTCACAATCAGTACACTTTTTGATCTTATTACAATGCTATAGCCAGAATATTAAAGTAATTAAGAAGTCTTTCTATTGAAGCACATATGACCCAAATAACAACTGCTTACCAGAATAATAAGTAGTAACTATAGGAAATAACATCACCCTGTGAAATGACCCTGTAAATGTTAAAGGTTAATGTGTCATATTTACTGAAACTCTTTCACCAGGTAAACCAGTACCAACTATTCAGGTCTGTCCCATCTATTTAGTGCCACATAAAACTGGGAGTCTGTGACTCAGTAAGCATTGCCCCCCCCTACTTTCTGTCTTGTTCTTGATTCTACTAATTCTGACCTTTCAATTTTATTCTTTATTTCTTCTTTTGTGTTGCTTCTTGAACCAAACTCATGAAATCATTTTCCTACTTCTGGAAATGATTGCTATGTACCTCCCTGATGATGTCATCCCTGGCTGCTCTAGGCATGGTCCTCCTGATTCAGCCCCACTATGGATTCTCTATTTCCAGACAGATCTTCACAATATATATCTCCACCCAATTCAAACAAGTCAGAAAACTACAGGCTAAAGACATGGTTTATCCATCATGGATGACATATTCTGAAAAACCTAGTCTTGAAAAAAAAAAACTGTACTGAGTTCTCATAATGAAATTCAAACAAAAAAATCACAAATATTCTTATATACGCCCATGAATGATCACTATTTAGATTTTCTATTCTTTTACCTATTTTGCTGTAATTATCACCAATGAGATCTTCCAAACCAATCATCTTCCAGAAGCTGTCATCCCAACCTTTCTCTGCTGAGTATGTCCATTTGCACACCAGTGAGCAGAGAGACCTAGAAACATTGGAGAGAGGTAGGATCAACAATGTGAGACATTTTCCCTAATATTTTATCCAAATACCTGCCCTGGTATTTTCAGTATATTCAGTAGTGTGGTGGCAACAGAGGAAACAGTAATTACACATTCCTGTTTAAATAAAGGGCTCTATGTACACCCGGGAATGAACACTAGTTCCTTTTGCCTTCAGAATAGACTCAGTCTTCTGTATGGATCCTGACCAAACAAACATAGTAAGTGAACACTTGCACTTACATCTACATTTATTTGACACATGTGGGATAATTATGAATTATAATACGAATAAGTTATTTGATGAAACAGAGTAAACATCTTAAGTTTAAATGTAATATTGGTGTGGCTATATTAAAATTGCTCTTTATCATTCAGCATGTGACATATTCATGTAGAATGGCATTTGGAGCATATTTCAAAAATAACACAAGAAGGGGAAGTAAATGGTGCTGTGGATGGACGGGTAGGATTGGCCTTGGCTGCTGACCATTGGAGCAGACAGATGAATTCACAGGAGTCTTGGTGTCATCTACTTTTATAGATCTTCCATGTTCTCTACAATAAAAATGCTTCTTTTACATGTCTGCTATAAAGTAAATAATATGTCACTGTAATCTAAATCAATACTTCAGTACTGGAAGGTGTTTTCTTTCAGCTTCATTTCTCAATGTCACCCTTAACATTCTACAATTCTTCTTCTAAAATAACACTTATGTCTCTGAAACAGTCATGTTCTTGCATACTTCTTTGCCTCTGCTCTACCACTTGCAGTTTAAAGACCCCTCCCAAAATTTTTCATTCTGATGGCTCAAACTCTTATTTTAACCTAAGTTGAAAGTCTAATTTGCAGTTAAATATTTCCTTTCTTACCTCTCAAAAAATGAAATACACACACACACACACACACACACACACACACACACACACACACACACACACACACACCTCCAGTTCTAGATATCAAATTCAGAGCCTTATGTGTACCAGGCAAGCACTGTACCACTGATCTACATCTGTGCCCACAGAGTATACTGTATATCATGACCTTTATCACACTGTAATTCACTGCTTTTTCATAGGTATTATCTACATTTCTTCAATCTATTCTCCATATTTTGTCCACGGCAAATTTTACAAACCTGTAATATCAACCTTCACATGAACACTTTGTGACATGTCTGCATCTGTTTCTGTTTGTTTTTGGCTAGTTCCACGCCTGCATTCTCTGTTGAACTAAGCCATCAGTACTTTCCTATAGTTAGCCTTTCTTTCTCACTTCTCTTTTCTTTATTCATCCTAGAATGGCCAGCCCATTATGCACTTGAGTCTTAGTTAACTACCATGAGTCCTCTCAAACTGTCTCTCTCCAGGAAGCCCCAATAGAGGACATGTTGAACCAAAAGCCTCTTCTCCATGTGCCTATCTGGACATATGCTTGTCACAAACTGACCAATGTAGCTATGTACTACAATGTAGCTATGTACTACCAATGTACTTACTCCTTTCTTCACCTCTCCTGCTAAAAGGGCCACACTTTCATTACAAAATGTCCTGCTTATCTCTGTATCACTAGTCCCTACCTCATGAAAGTGTATATCTAGCCATAGTGAATACTTATTGAATAGAAACATTAAAAATATGTCTTTATATTGCCACAGGTATGTAGCAAGTCCAAAGAAATCACACTCATGCTGTTTTAAGGATAAACCAAACCCATTGCATGGGCCAAAAGTCTTGATGTAACTCATTCAGTCATACAGAACCATTCAATCACTTGGAATTTAGTGGATACTATGACCCTGCTGCCATGGTAGGCCTTAGTGGTAAGTAGTAGACACAAGACCCAGTCCTTCACTTTCCCAGAAGCAGAAAGTTTAACTGGGGAGACAGGCATTCCTTGAATTATTGCTTGAATAATTACACATAAAATCCTATAGTAACAAACAGCCCTATGTTTTCTAAAGAAAGTACATAGAGAAATAAGAAACTTTAGTGGGAAAATCTGATGCAATCTAGTGCTGGGAGTGGGGTGTTTAGGTGGTTGTGAAGAAAGTAGGCTCCACAGAGAAAATAACATTTTACTAAGTTATAACTTGAAAGCAAGAGACATTTATCATTAAAATTTTGTTCAGGTATAGCATAGGTGATAGAAAATGTCAAGCTGTGCTAAATGACAGGAAAACACCAGCACACACAATATATATGTGCTAACTCATTCCCTTGATTTAAGCAAGGTCACTTTTTGTACAGTGGATGAAGGCAGGGGCCAACTATCAAGCATGCTGTGAAGTACATGGTAGCCTAACACCCCCTAGAATGACATCTGAAATTTTAACCTTTGGAGGGGTTCTGATAGTTTACTGGAAAAAACAATGCTACAAACAAAAGACAAAGTCAAGCGTTGCTTCTAATGGCACAAGCACATGGGCCAACTCTTCACTGCCCAACACCCCATCAACATTCGGAGACTCCTGTACCTTCCATCTTAATTAAGCATTGCTGCTGTCCTTATTTCTAATCACTTGGTAAACTTCAAATCTTCATTACAATCCAATTCACTATTGCTCCTCTGTGAAAGTTTCCTTTGACCTCAAAGTCAAACTCATGGCCCCTTCTTTAACATTCCAGGTATGCTACAGTTATTACACTATAGATCTAAACAGGTCAGGGTTGTTGGCATGGCCTCTTGTCTTTATCCCTCTACATATGAGCACCCTTTGCCATGTACCTTAACAGTGGAGTACCATCCCTTTACCCCCTATATTGTTTACGTGGCCTCCTTTCCTTCTTCTAGATTTTGGGCAATGACTCAAGATTGCATTTTGGTAAAGAATGACTCAGAAATGATTGCATGCCAGTTACTGGTCTAAATTCGAAGATACTTTAGGAGTGTTAGCTTGTGCTCTTGAGCCATTTCATTTCCATGAAGAACTCATGCTGAGCTAGCTCATAGGGGATATCATACAACTGAAAGGGCAGCAAGGATCAGTTTAATCAGATCTCAGTCACAGCCCAAATTGTCTTGTGTCAGTTAGGAAAAGGTAGCTGTGAGTCTGGTTGAGATCAGAAAGACCCACCAGGGCTCAGAGTAAATAATATGCCCATGAGCCAAATAAGTGACTCCTGGGTTTAACAACTAAAACTTGACTGGGGTTTGCAGCTGAGCAATGCTTAATTCACAATATAAGTAAATGAGACCAAATGTATTTTTTCCTCCTCAATAAGGAAAAGAATAGTAATCCTTTATTTCTTACAGTAAATTTGAATTCTTTGGAAGAAAATTATTGAACCAGGAGGCAAGAAGTTTTATGGATACAGATTCCTCTGAAAACCCATTCTATATATAGCTTACTCAAATATACTCTCTCTCTCTCTCTCTCTCTCTCTCTCTCTCTCTCTCTCTGTCTATCGCTGCCTGTCTATCTCTCTAACCCAGTTGGCCTGGACCTTACTCACGTTATAGTCATGCTGTCTTTAAACTGATGGCCATATTCCAGCATCAGTCTCCTGCATACTGGCATTATGGGCATGTGCTACCACATATAGCTAGTCCATTTCATTTAGATCTCTTTAGAATCAATTGATAGATTATGAAGATGTCCCTGTTCCTAATGCAGCAAAATCAGCACTTAAAGAGTGCATCTAAGGTCACAGGCTCTTGGTGGCAATCTAGAAAAAAGTTAATTTTTTTTCTTATCAGTGAAAAAAGGCAAGGAACTAATACCAGAATAAACAGTGTGCCTTGCCTGGAAGCTTCTACTAAAAGCCAGGTTTGACAACCTCCAAGATATTTTATTGGGCAATCAACCCTCCGGGGCCTCTAACTACTGGCCAGTTTCCTCCCAGTGAACCAAAATGTCAGGACAGGAATTCTGATTTTTTTTCTTATGGAGTTTTTTTTTATGCCAAATGACTCTAAAATGCATACAAATACCAAAACAGATTCACCAGCATATCAAAATAACAATACAACATAAAAAAAACACAGTACCTATAGCTGGGCATGGTGATATGTATAAGAGAGCAAGATCACTTGAGAGATGACATCTAGAGCTTCCAAAAGAGGGAAATACCATTGAAGAAGAAATCATGAAGCTATTTGGAAAACCCATCAATGATGAAAACCACAAGAGATTAGAAATAAAATACTAGAAAGATTTCTCAGAAGGAAAAAAGTAATTTAAAATTAAAATTTAAAGCTTAAGTTGTCCAGGCTAGCATGATGGCTCAAGAGGTAAAGTCACCTGCTGTACAAACCTGACAACTTATAAGTATGATTCCCAGAACCCACATAAAGGTGGAAAGAGAGCAAACAAGTAGTCCTTTAGGTTCCATATGTGAGCTATGTCAAATGAATGTCTCTTCAAACTCTCTCTTTCTCTCTCTGATAATAGTAAATATTAAGCTTTCTACAGATGAACTACAAATGTCATAGGTGGAAATCAATTAAATGCTTTTGGGATACCAGAAGAAGGGAATGTCTTATAGCAAGGAGGAAAGACACAAAGGTAGGAATAGCAAGGGGAAAGGCACAGCAAAGGAAGGGCATAGCATGGGGATGGGCATAGCAAGAATTCCAGAAGGGAATTTTAAAAGCTAGAAAAGAATAAAAGACAGAATAGAGGAGGAAAGTAATATAAGCAAATGCATGCAATACTAGGCTCTTCATAAACTACACCAGGGTGAAACTTAAGCCTACAGATTAAAAGTTCTCATAGGTCCAGGAAATACTTGAATTTCAAGAATAAACAGAGAATTACACATGCTGCCAGACAGCAATACTAAGTTGTGTACAATACCTTAAGGGCCTAAAAAGCTATGGAAATCTCATCTACAACCCCAGAATGCAGAAAACATGGAAATAATGTACAGATCACCAAGAAAGGCTGATCCAAGAATCCTACACCCAGACAAAATATTATTCTGCTGTCAAAGGAAAAGAAAAACATTTTCAACATACAAGGGTTTCAAAAAGTAAACT